CATCAACATACAGCTACAATGCATAGAAAGGAGTGTCGCTCACAGAAGGGGGCAAATTTTCAGCAATAAAAGGGGGTGGTTAACAATCGTTCCAAAATATCAAGAATAGCAGATTGGGGGAAAAGTAAACGGGTCATAAGATCCGCGCATTATACATGAATGTTGCGGTGCAATACCCATAGTTTTCTAAACAGGGATTGCCGAAAGTAACAAGAATTTTACTGCCATGTGAGACGATTTAGTACCAAATATGGCAAAATGCCACAAATTGCGCTAGAGTAACAAGAATAGGCAAGAATTGTTGAAGGGCAAGAAAGGGGCCAAGAACACCCGCGCATAACTGTTTTTCCCTAATAGTAATAGTTATCTTAACTGGGATACGTTCTTGTCCAGTAATTTTTTAATGCTTTCCATTTTCGCGAAAATGAAATCATCAGTTACAAACGTGACACTATTTATAATTACTGACAGTACCAAAATACTGTAATATCAATCTGTATATGCTTCGTTCTTCCATCAACATACAGCTAGCTAGGATAGCAAGAAAAATCCTTGTTACTTTTGCGACTTTTGCGATATTTGCGGACATTTCGGGGCCCTTCTTAATTTCTTCTTTTTCTAGGTCTGGAGTTTTGTTAAATTTGTTATTTTTGCGATTTTTGCAATATTTATCATGGGTGTTTTTAGCTAGCAAGAAAAATCCTTGTTACTTTTGCGATTTTTGCGATATTTGCGGACATTTCGGGGCCCTTCTTGGCTTCTTTGCTTTCTAAGTCTGGAATTTTGTTACATTTGTTATTTTTGTGATTTTTGCGATATTTGTCATGGGTGTTTTAAGCTAGCAAGAAAAATCCTTGTTACTTTTGCGATTTTTGCGATAATTGCGGACATTTCGGGGCCCTTCTTGGCTTCTTTGCTTTCTAAGTCTGGAATTTTGTTACATTTGTTGTTTTTGCTATATTTGCGATATTTGTCACAGGTGTTTTTAGCTCGCAAGAAAAATCCTCGTTACTTTAGCGATTTTTGCAATAATTGCGGACATTTCGGGGCCCTTCTTGGTTTCTTCTTTTTCTAAGACTAGAATTTTGTTAAATTTGTTATTTTTGTGATATTTGTCATGGGTGTTTTTAGCTCGCAAGAAAAATTCTTGTTATATTTGCGATTTTTGCGATATTTGCGGACATTTCGGGGCCCTTCTTGGTTTCTTCTTTTTCTAAGTCTAGAATTTTGTTAAATTTGTTATTTTTGCGATATTTGTCATGGGTGTTTTTAGCTAGGAAGAAAAATCCTTGTTATATTTGCGATTTTTGCGATATTTGCGGACATTTCGGGGCCCTTCTTGGCTTCTTTTTTTTCGAAATCTTGATTCTTGTTAGATTTGTTATTCTTGCGATTTTTGCGATATTTGTCATGGGTGTTTTTAGCTAACAAGAAAAATCCTTGTTATATTTGCGATTTTTGCGATATTTGCGGACATTTCGGGACCCTTCTTGGCTTCTTTTTTTTCTAAGTCTTGGTTCTTGTTAGATTTGTTATTCTTGCGATTTTTGCCATATTTGTTAGTGATTTTCTGACATAATTTTTTCCCAATTACTTCTTTTGCGACAATTGCAAAAAACATTTGCTAGCAAATTTTTGCTAACAAGATCGATCCTGGACATATCGATTCCCATGCTGAGTTCATTTCCTCACATTATAATTGTTGTGTTTTTGAAAAAAAAAAATGCTCTACAAGTATCGTTTTTAAGTCAAATGGTTTTAATGTTAAGACACGAGCTAGCAAATCTAGCATGAATCAGACTTGCAAAAACACCTCTGTCGTTTGGGGTAACGATAGAAAAAGAAGTTAATCTCAGGGAGTGTTTTGTCCGATACCAGACATCGGCTGAGATTAGTAAGCTGAAATAACGAGACACATCCTCAACACTCACTGAAGAATTCAAAACGAAAGTTGACCGTATTACCGAGAGGTAGCCGTAAGGCGGGGTTCCAATGTACTTAGTTATAATTTTAGCCGGGCATTGAACAAAAATCGTCAAATTGATTACGGTAAACTTATTAGTTCCTTAAGACTTCTTTTCATTTTTCTCATCGATTTGTTGACCATTTTCAGACCATGTTTTAGTTGGTAATGTTATTAACACGTCCGTTGTTGCTGAGGCTGTTGAATGTCACCAAAAATGCCTCAGAAAAAACAGCTGCAAGTCGTTTAAGAGCGGCTCCGCGTAAATGTCAACTAGACGTGGAAATAGTCAAAAAATGACCTGGCCTCAAACACAGCCAGAATAAAGCCCTATGGGCCCTAGTTACAAAATCGTTGGTTTAAGTACGATCGAGTGAATAATATTTTTTTAACGAATTTTTTTCTTGCCGAGGCCTAAAATGGGCAAAAAACATGCGAAATTGTAGTCATATTCAGTAACTCATACATTTTAAAATAAAGTTGGCTACTGAAAGCGGATTGGTACATGGCTTTGAACACCCAGGCTTGTTTAGTCTGAAAGAGCATTCTTTTTTTCTTAAATTAGCCGGAAATAAAATTTTTGGGTAAATGAAATCACGAGCGCTGACAAAGCGAGGCAAATGTAATTGTTACACTAAAAACAGGCGAAAAACGTGACCTCTGACCGAAGCACAAACCAAATGCGAATTACGGTAGGTGCCAAACCTTTAATTATTCGGTAAGTTCTCAAAACAATATTGGTCTGAAATGTGTATAGGTTTTTTAAAATAAAGCTGAGTTAAAGTATTACGTGTCAAAAAGTCCACAAAGCGGTAAAAATACAACAAAAGTCACAAGTAATCTGTTCCGTTTTCTGAATTTTATGCAGCGATTTATGCGATTAAACGAATTAACAATTTTTAATCCAGCGATACCCACTTGAGACTGTGTTAGTTTAAGAGTCCATAGAACTTCTCAGAAGATTTCTCCAGAAGGAAATGAATGAAGAATTTGAACTTATAACTGTGACAATTTCACTTGCCGCCACGGCAAAACGAAAACAACTGTGGAACTGCCACAGGCAAACCAGCTTTCACTGCAGTCATGCAAAGCATGTCACGTCACGTAATTCTGTCCCGCGCATTTGGGAAGGAGGGAACAAATTCTTCCATGCTGTGCGCTAAGACATTTGTGAAATAAAATTAGCTTTGGACTGTTTCATTTTTGCCCTCGCTTGATGTCAAAGGTGCCTTTTCCGCCGATATAATCTTGGATTTGATTAGCAGGCGTTTTTAGGGGATTCGTAACGTAAACAACATAATTATGCTTTACAAACTTTACAAAACGACGATACACGTCCTCCTCTGCAAAGTACGACGCAAAACATATGTTTTTTTTATCTCGATTTCCGCTGTTATTTTGAAGATAATGGTCAAAATCACATCCATTTTCGGCTCATACAGGTTCTTAAGAATAGCATGGCATGACATTTTCTCACTTTCACATCACCTTCTAGCAAGCTGGAATTTGTATATCCCCCGTGTTGCGGGGTCGAAGAGCAAATGCTCATCTTCTCGTCTTCTCGTCAAGTTTAACGCCTGAACGAGTCAAAGGCTCTTGAATCGAAATCAAATCCCCAAGTCAACCATCGTACTCACTTGAAGGACTCCTGCGTGTCTTAAATTTGACCTCTAACCGTGCTGTGGAAAATTTGCCACAAAAAAAACTCTGAGTCTGGGCAGCGAACAATGCACCCTCTCACCCACCGTGTTGATCGTGTTTTTATTTGAGTTGTCCCTGTCGCAATGCATTCTGGTAAATAGTAGCGCAGTGCACTTTTGTTAAATACAATGCATTCTGGTAAAAAATGTGGTTAAATGCAATGCATTCTGGTAAAAAGTGATGAATTCGAGAATTCGTCGCCCCTTATATATTTCCCTTAAGGTGACTCGACCCAGTTTTTTTGGGGGGGTACCATCCTACTTTGAAGCTCTCTGGTATCCCCACCTTTACTTTTATCGTAAGTCTAACACATAGAATGGATAACATATAGATCAATCTACGATATAACATTCGGAAGTCAGCCAAGCGCGGTCATTGCACGCGTGCTGAACAAGAATGCTGTATAATGACAGACTAGAAACAATAGACAACTCCCAAAGCACAAACTCAGCCAAAACGCTAAAAATCTTCAACGTTTACTCAAGTTTGGGCTTATAGAACATAATGTCACAGTTTTTCAATGACCATGAAATTCAGAGTCCGGGTAGTTAGTTAATCCATTGTGGCCCTGAAAAAATTTGAAGGAAAAAAAACTACGAATTTTTAAGAAAATGCTTTTTTCGTGAGAAGGACTCTTAAACGCTGACAAACGTCAACAAATAGCGAAAACTATAATTTCTATATGTTTGCTTTGCTCGAAATCGCGCGCATTTACAAGGCCCTAAAGCGTTTTGCTGACTCGCAAGGACCCCTCTGTTATAAGGATGCCCAAAATAAAGAGATGAGTCTCATAGTTTATAAGATATAATCCGTGTAAAGTTTGCTTATCATTTTTGCATGAATTATGACCTAAATTTGGAAACCGCTGAATTTCTCGAATTGCGTCTTTGCGATTTTGGTGAAACTCTGTTCAGCGCAAGGCACTAATGCGCACTATGTGTAGCAGAGAGATTTTCACGAAAAAATGCCGGTAACAGCAGATTTTCGACTCAGACCTCAAAGGGGCGTGGCATTATAACCACGTGACATTTACTCCGATCGCCAAAAATTTTATGTTATATTGTAGATTGATCTATATGTTATCCATTCTATGTGTTAGACTTACGATAAAAGTAAAGGTGGGGATACCAGAGAGCTTCAAAGTAGGATGGTACCCCCCCAAAAAACTGGGTCGAGTCACCTTAAATCCTAATTATGTTGCTGCTCGCTGCCTACGGTCGCTCCGCAGCAACAAACTAATTAAAAATGGAACAACCACTCTATAAGGCTGACACTTAATAGTCGGCACGTACATGTAGCACAGTGAAGATCACAATCACCCATAAATTTTCCTTCGATGGCAGCTTCATGGCTCATTCGTTTGGTTTTTCTGACTGTTAATGTTCTGATGGCAGTGGTACTGGTGATATCCAACTCGGACTTCTGTGCCAGCGTTTTTGAAACTCAAACAGGTAAATTAACACCTGCGGCTTTATAAAACGGTTTTCTGAAACGTTTTCTAAGTTGCAAACAAACTACCATTTTTTTTTCTCAAAGTTTTCTTCAGTAGAGTCTTTTATTACATTTTTTTAAATACCCATTTTGATTTGCAGTCTGTCTACTTTGAATTGAGATGACGAACTCGGGAAAAAAGCATTTTAATAGCATTTTCTTTTCCCGACTTTCAATCTGATGTTAAAATTACTTACAACTCTTATCACTTTTTTTACTTCCGACGATTCGCTCTTGTATCATATCGCAATTTTGCAAGCGAATATATCTCCTCATCATAAAAGATCAGAAAATTGTTTAGCTAAAAAAATGAATGAATGTTTGTCCTACCTTCATGTTAAACTCTACTGTTTTTTGAATATTCCTCTGTTTTATATTCCTTCATGTTTCAGACCATGTTTTAGTTGGTCATGTCATGAGTACATCAACTGTTGCTGACGAGTTTGAATGTCACCAAAAATGTCTCAGAAATAACAGCTGCAAGTCATTTAATGTTCATCCTGGTGCAGATATTAATACAAACCACGTTTGTGAGTTGAACAACGAAACACGGAAGATGAAACCGGACAATTTCATTAAGAAGAAAGGATCTTCTTATTATGGACAAGTTAAGGTCAGATCCACTGTTTGAACATAAACTATCGCTTTTTTATAAAACTGTTATTTAAAAAAACTCTAACAACTAATTAGCGACCTTAAGATCAGACGACGGCGACGGCAACGAGAACGTCATAAAAGCAATAGGTTTTTAAAACAAGCAAGTTATTAAAATAAGAAAAACAACAAGAAAAAAACAACTTTGCACGTGCATAACACTTTGAAAATGCCTAACTTCATGTTTTATAGAGGATGTCATTAAAACATTCAATCAACGACGAAATTTTCTTTCTCTTTCTTAACTTGGATAAGGTTCTTAGAAATTCAACTCCAGGAGAGTTCGTGTACATTCGACAAAGTAAGCGTGATGGAACAATCGCGATGACGATTGGAAAACGCGAATTCATTTTTAAGCGACGTTTTACCTGCCATCGCCGTCCTCGCATCTTAAGGTCCCTATTAAAACATTTGTTTACCACGGTCACCCTGTTCGGTTTTTTCGGAATTTCAACAGACAAGTATTTAATTTCTTAGACTTTTAGGCTCAAATTCTATGGAGTTTTGAGATCAGATTCTTACGAATTACTTGATACTATACGAATTTAAGTGGTTATCTTAGCAGAACTCTAATATCGTAAATAGTACTTTTGACGACATTGTCTTTTAAATAATGAGTTGTTGCACTGGTTTGCCTGTGTCTTAAGTACATATTTGTTTTTACCCACACGAAAAATATCGCGTATGCCAGGGTATAGAAAGAAGGTATATCAACATATTTAACAATTATCATAAGTATCATCTAAAAAATTATGGAGATCGAGGAGGGTGTTATCCGCCTCGACCGCTAGCCAATCAGAAACGGAGAAATATTTTGAATAAATAATAGTTATTTATATTACTTCTAAAGCAAACAAAAGTGGTAATAACTAAAGCACATAATGACGTCATCTATAGTTGTTATCTATTGTTTGATGTTTCTCATTTCAATTCCTTATTTCCTTCTCAGGTTTCCTGCCAAGATCTGCCCACCAACAAGAAGAAACAAACTGGTCATTGTCATCCGGACTACAGAGGAAAAAAATGTGAAATTCGTGAGTAACGCTTGTCTATTTTTAAATTTGATTTTACTATTGCCTCACGGAGGAGCAAATATTTACCATATATAGTCATTTGTTTTATTATCTGCTGCAGCAAAGCGAGGTTGGAATTCCAAGCAGCCTGCTTATTCATGTAAGAGCATCCGGGACTCTGGTGACTTTAAAGGAGACGGGAGGTACTGGATCGACCCTGAGAACAGTGGAAACCCGTTGAACGTTTACTGTGACATGACAACTGACGGAGGTGAGATCTGTTCCAAAAAATCTGAAATCGTGAGCAATTATAGCTCATTCAAACTACTTTTTCGTTTCTGGTTGAACTATATTCCCCGGCTTATTCTTTATAAACAGCTACCATTATCAAATTTAAAGACATTTAACGTCAATTGTACAGATATCGTTTGAGAGAGGGACAGCAGAAGGTGCAGTAGCTCTTTTTTTTTTTTTTAGCAATTCCTTTATTTGGCCAAGACTGAATAGGGTATGGTTTTCAGGGTAATACAAGTTTACTAATTTAAGTCTTGAACAGGGTATCCTCATGCCGAGGTACCAACAATATATTTTCAAAAAAAACTCCAATTTCATGATGTTAATATAAAAAGCACCTCTAAATTCCTTGTGTAAAATGAAGTGAATCAGAGTTGTGAAATTAGGTCTCCTGTCTTTAACAGGGTGGCAAAATAAACAATTTTTTGTTTTAAACAGGGTTAGGGTTTGAAGGGTTCGGCGACTACTCCCCCCCCCCTCCCGGAGGATTTCATACGTTATGCGTGGGAGGCAGCCGTTGAACTACTGTCTAAACATATCACTGTGGTAATCAATGACAACGGCGTACTAAAATATACATTCCGATGAAGCCTTTCGAACTATTTTGCTTCAAAGACCTTCAATAAACTTTGCGGCGTTATTATTTTTTCTTCTTCGCGCATGACTTTATTATGGTGCCGCCTCGCAGCCTCGTGTCTGCTCGTTGGCAATTATTTGGAATAGCTGAAGAAACAAGTTGGGGTGCGTTTCTTTACCAAATATACCAAAAATGGATTATTGATACAAATGATCTACAATGGGGGTGGATTCTTTGTATCATATCCAAAACCGGATACTTTGGATGCATGATCCGAAGCGTTTCTTTACTACGGATCCGAAAGAGTGAATACAGTCGACGGTAACTCGAAACAATTTTAATACATACAGCAGCTGTTTTGCAACTTAACGTTGCTCATCTCAACGGCCATTTTTAAACTCGAGGCATGAATTGAACGATTCGTTTTATCCCGCGCAATTTTTATAGGGATAGTAAAATCGCAATACAAACGGGACTTGCATTGGTCTAGTTCCAAACGGCAAGTCGAGACACTTCGCCGGAGCGAGTTGCAACATTTTACAATAAAATTTTTACGATGTCGGGACTGTTCAGCCAGATCAATCTGCTCTAGCCTGCTTAGTAGCAGGCGTCGAAAGGGGTAGGAGATAGAGAGGAAGGGAAAAAGGAAGGGGGATTGGGGAGAGAGGGTAGGGAACGCCTGCTATAAGAACCCCCTTTTGTTCATTGCTGCGGACGCTGGCGTCAGCAAATTCCTGTTTGGCTGAGCCGTGATGAATAACTTATTGGCGTGTATCCTGGCGTGTATTAGTGAGAGACAAACATGATGAAGCCATCAAGGAAATGTGTTCTACTGGCATAAGCTTTGGAAGATCAAAATTACTCCAATCATGTAGCAACTTGAAGTTAAAACCCGAACTGGAACCAACTGTAATAGCTTTGAAAATAATCCTGAAAGCCATCACGTAAGGCCAGAATCGCTTGAGACTTTTCAACCCCCTTACGTATCAAGCAAGGTGAAGTAGAGTAAGCTACTTTTTGAACACGATGACATCCGAAATCGGATTTGCGATGAGTTTCACAAGCGGTGTATTTCTCAACCAAAAACCCATTAAACAAACCATCCACGAATAACAGAAGAATCTTAGTAGCGAGCTGCATTTAATTAATTTTGTGGAAAAAGACAGTTAAAAGCATCATACGATGACAAAAAAGTCCGTCAGCTTCAGCTATCTGCGTAAACATAGTTTCCAAATGCTGCAAAATATTTCCACATGAATTCACCTGTCAAATTTTGACCAATCGGACAAAAATTGGGAATAGAGCATGGCCAACGCATGACTATGGTGAGAAATGCTAAAAGGATCTGCCTTCCCTGCGTGTTAAAAACTGCCTAAATTTTCGCGTCCGAAGTCAGTTTGAAATCAAAATCTTAATTGGTCAGCTCATAAACACAACTTGTTTCCTGTGCATTGAAACAAAATTGAGTTTGAGTCTGCGAATATTTGAAAACTAGTAACTTCGCAGTAGATAACTTCCCAAAAACGTACACTCGATGGGTCAAGAAATAAGCCCGCGATACGGTCAAGTGATACTGGGCAGCGGATACCCTGTTTTGACAACTGTCAACTGACCACGACATGGATGTGCTGAATCAGGTTGCAGGCTCCCAAACTAGCTAGAAAGTGTGAGATTGGTTTCCTGGTTATGCAGACGGAGGGACGGTCACGTGACTACCAAATTTTCTCGGGTAGATAGAAGCACGCACGTCGAGCTTCGCTATTAAAACAGCCATTCTTATCGATTTTACAGAATGTAGGACTTTAATAAAATGCCTCTTTATCTTCACATTTTTCTTTCAGGAGGCTGGCTCCTTGTTTCCAACATCACGATGGAAAGTTCAACTCCACCCTCTCAGCTGCCAGTCAAGACTTCATACCGTGGAATAACCAGTGATCAGATGGTTCTTACAAAAACCGCCATGAATGAGCTGAGAACACACTTGTCTTTCACCCAGCTGAGATTCCACTGCTTTAAAAAATATGCATGTACGTTCCACGTTACCACTGCTGCCAACAGCAGCGGTGAAGCTGTAGTCCAATACTTCAGCGGTCAGACAGATGTCCAGCCCGCCTCGTGTGGCTCATATGTCATCAGGGAAAATGACAACTCAAGGCTGGCAAGAGTTTGTCAGAATTGGGGATCGGAAAATGGCGTGCACACAGTTGGCAAATGGGGTCATGGTCGAAAGCAAGACAGGCTGTATATATACCCTGCTTTTACAGTTGGCAAATCTCATTGGTACATGAACCCACCTAATTTTCTTTGCGATGATAACATCCCAAATCCAACATCTTCTAGCGATTTCTGGAAAGTCTATGTTCGCTAAGAACTTGAAAAATTGATTGCAGTGGTCAAATATATATTATCTTATTAAGAGACTTTCTTTGTACAGTTATTCAAATATTACGATTAATAATAGGTATCACGGAAGAAATCAGGCATTATGCTTAATTTTCATATTTATTTGCATTTCTATTTGTTTCTATCGTCCAATCATTAACTCTTATTTTCCATATTTATCCCTATTTATTAGGATTTACGCTTACTTAGGCACTTAAGCTATTTATTGATTTTTCGAATATTTAACAGTATTTTTTCTTATTTACATCTTTTCCTAAGTTTCACATTTAAACAACTTTCTAGTATTAATAAGCATTTATTCAGTCATTTATTCAATTAAAAGGGCAATATTATTTAATAACAACAACAATAATAATAATAATAATAATAATGATAATAATAGTAATAATAATAATAGTAATAATAAACATTTCGTTTGTATTTTCGAGCTCTTTTCGGGACATTTTTTCTCAAGTTTTCTTAGAATAAGCTTGTAATGAGAAAAAAAGATCGTTGTGCCGTGTTTTGATGTAATAATGATCGCTTTTTTCCTGAGAAATATACAGTGAAAGACCATATTTCTAACACTAAACTAGTAAAAGGCGATCATTATTACATCCAAACACGGCACAAGGATCTTTTTTCTCATTACAATGTTATTCTAAGATATCTTTAAGAAAAAATGTCCCGAAAATCGGTCGAAAATACAAACGAAATGTGCTCATGCCCCGTGGGCATCCTATAATACTCCTTAAATCGAATTAATTCAATATGGCCGCCGTATCGGTAAAAGATCGGTGTACCACCTCGTACCCTGGGAATTGCCAGCCCCAGAGGGAATTACCACCTCACATACATTACCTTAAGGGGATTGTAACCCTCTAGACAGGATTACCACTTTTTACACATAAACTCTCTGGGATAACCTGCCCAAAAGGAGGATAAGCGCCTCACATGTTACTCTGTGGGATTATCAACCCCAACAAATGTCTACACGTGCTGAGAGTATTTAGAAAAGAGCGCTACAGCCAGACAGAAATTGATTATCTCTTCTATAGTATTGTTCTCCCTAACATAACCTACGGACTATCTGTTTATGGTGCCTCCGTTGCGAAAATTAATGTCCTTCAGCAATTTTTAGACAAATGCTATAAGTTACGCTTTATATCTACACAGTTAAATATTAGATCATTACTACAAAAACAAGATAAAGCGATCTTTCAAAAAGCTAAACAGCATGATAACCACCCTCTGAAGGTGTGCTTACCGCAAGAAGAGAACAATTTAACCTACAATCTTAGACGTAAAAGCTTCCAAAGGCCCAAGATAAACACCGAACGTTATAAGAACACATTTGTAAATGGATGAATTTTTAAATACAATTTTTTTATGATATTTTATGTCAGACATGTGTAACTAGTTTTTCGCATTTTTCAATCTTTTTATGCTATTGTAATTTAGCTGAACTTTTAATCTTTTTATCCTGTAACATTGGATATGTATTTTTATCTAATGAGCAATAAAGACATTTATTATTTATTACTATTAGAGAGGATTATAACCTCACACTTGTAAACCCTGGGGGATTATCAGTCTCTACAGAGCCTTACCACCCTTCCACACCTTAGCCTGGGGATGGTCGACCCCTAGAGAGGATTATAACCTCACCACATTTATCCTGGGGGGGATTACCAGTCTCTAGGGAACCTCCGACACTTTACCCTTGAGGATGGTCGACCCGTGAAGAGGATTATAACCTCACACACATATACCCTGGGAAGGGATTATCAACCTCTAGAAAGGCTTACCACCGTTTCACACATTACCCTGGGGGATGATCGACCCCTAGAGAGGATTATAACCTCTCACGCATATATCCTGGGGGATTATCAGCCTCTAGAGAGCCTCTAACACTTTACCATTGGGGATGGTCAATCCTTAAAAAGGACTACATCTCCTCTCAATTTACCCCAAGGATTTTTGGCCGAGTTGGATTTGGAAGTGTTTAGCCCTGTGAAAAACATTGTTGGCTGTTACATGTTGCGTCAGTTTGCACACCTTGTTGGTAGTTGTTGCGCAAAGTTTGAAGCTGATCAAACTACCAACAATGTTAGAAGTTATTGCGTCCGTCGACTGTACGTAGCTTTACGTCCATGGATGAAAGTCACTTGCAGAATAAGGGTTATGGGTGGGAAAAGTTAATCACGAATGAATTTTTCCTTAATAAATGGTAAATAATATTTCCTTTACTGCTTTCACAAAAGTGCGCCTTGTTTGCCCTCAAAATGTTGCTTAACCATTGTTTTCAATTTCCCTGGGTATTACAGTGATCCTGAGAGAAATCCAAGACAATGGTTATGTAAAAGTTTGAGGTAAACAAGTTGCATTCAGGCCCCGGAGAGGATTTTCAAGTGGGAAGTGGGGGGTGGGAGGGGGTAATACGAACGCGTAAGCGTAACCATACTAGTGGGGGCAAACTAGTGGGAAAATTTTAAATTTAAGTCTTCCGAAATGGCTATAAAAGCATCTAAAACTGCCAATAGCAATATAAATTTGTAATTATTACATCAGCACTTAAAACAACAATTCACAACCTGGCGCCACGTTAGACCTAAATTAAATGAACAGACTTTGGAGCTAAACCCAACACATGCAACGGTGGAGTGTCAGCCGGACATTTTGAACTAGGATTCTCTGAAGGTGCCAAAGTTGGCTTTCCGATTGTCATTAAGAGCTACAAACTCACTGGCAACAGCTACAAGACAGCTACAAGTTCTCTGTTTGTGGGTGTTCAGTATTGCCAGATTACTAAACCTTAAATTTTCACCATTTTCAGCAAGCAAAGTATGTTTATTTTGCAACAAAACAATAAATGCTAATAACAAAACGCGAAGAAGTAACAAAGCAAGCTTTCTGTAAAATACTCTGAAGAAAACTCCGTCCTCGGGGAAGTCTCTTATTAGAATTTATTAATTCAAGTGGATGGGATGGGGGTGAGCGCTTATTTGAGTTTGATTGGGGGGAGGAGGGGGTGAGAGCTTATTCGAGGCTGGGCGCTTATTAACCTTTCCTGCCTTTAGAATGGGCGCTTATTCGAGGTGGGTGCTAATTCGAGGTTGGGCGCTTATTCGAATAAATACGGCATGGAAATTTAAACAACACACTTCTTCATTTGTACGATGACTTCATTTTACTACTACTAACAGAAACGTTCAGGGTTTTGCTTTTTTTGCAAATAAGGGCTTATTTTAGTTAAACCCTCGCTGTCAGGTAAATAACTTTAAATATTAAAAGTAAGACCGTTTTTGGCATGTCGCCCATGATAATGCAGATAGCGTATTGATGAAAGACTGTTATTCACGTACCGTAAAGAAATACACTGACGTAAAATCTCAACAGTTGCCTTGGAAAATTCTTGGTTTATAACCATGTGACAAGAAGAGACTAAGGCTGCTATGCTGGTAAACAGAACAACTACCAATCATTTCCCAGAATTGGCATGAAAAATGAGTTCAGTTCAACGAGAGGAAAAACGCTTTTTGTTCAGTATCAACCAATAGCCGCCGTGACTTCAGTTGCAAACCAGCAATTAATGGGAATAAGTTATGAAACGAAACGATATTCCAAAGGAAGTGGTAAAAAAGTGGCAAGCGCGACAGTACACTTGTAAGTGATTTGATCACACAATGTTGGATACGACCTTGGCTTGTCAACTTTAAAAGGTTTATTCAGCCTCCATGCCATGTGTTCCTTAAAACAGATCATGTACTCAAAGAAAGGGATGTGTTCTATCTCTTTGCTAATAGAGAACAACTCCATTCGATCATTCAAGTTTTCAATAATTAACATTTATTTATTTAAGGGTAGGGGGTAAGAAAAACATCATAACTAGCTCGATTATCCAATTAGAGAGTGGGATGAATGTTAGAAGACCGATGTTTGGAACGTACTAACTGCAAACGTTATTTGTTAGGCTTGGAAAACTTCACTCGAGGCGCCAAATAAGCCGTAATTATGTAACCAAGAGGTTTGAAAAAGCATGATGGCTATTCTTCCTTGGTTCACCCAGTTGTTTTTTCTAATTCTTAATGTTTTTATCGGTATTATATACTCGGAAATGTGTGGAAGCGTTTTTGAAAGCAAAAACGGTAAGTAAAACCCGCTAAAACCATGTATCGCTGAGAGTCTTGAATCACAAATTCAAGATGTAAAAATGGCTCAAAATGTTATAAAGCAGGCGAAAAAATAATATGTTTTCAGATATTTTGTCATAAATGGATTGAGATTTTCTTAAAACTGAATTATTGTTTAAGAGATTAGGTTTACCGACGTTAGTCCTAGAAACAAAGTCAGAAAAAACTTGGTTTCATTTCACAGCAATAATTTTTTTTAAAACAAGTATAGGTATAGCGCTATTATATGTAATACTGACCATTTTCGCTGAAAAAACTTTTGCGACAGGAGCGAGATTACAATATTGCAAATAAGCTTATGAGTATTTCAGTTTTCATTTTCCGCGATTATTTTTAGTCTAGTATCAGCGATGACTATTTTAACCATATATATTTTTCAGACCATGTATTAGTTGGTAATATCATTAACACTTCAGTCGTTGCTGATGAGTTTGAATGTCACCAAAAATGCCTCGGACATATCAGCTGCAGGTCATTTAATGTTCATCCTGGTGGAGATATTACAAAACACGTTTGTGAGCTGAACAACAAAACACGGCAAATGAAGTCGGTTGATTTTATAGAGAAGAGCGGATCCTCATTTTACGGACAAGTGAAGGTCAGGTCACCAGGAGACTAAACTGAACTTGGCGTTGTCATTTTTAGGTTTATATCGGAGATGATTATGCTCAAAGACTTTAACACTAAGGTTTAGATAATCCTCTGAAACTTAGTTTTGACCACAAATTATTTGCCTGATTCCATAATTCTTCCGTTTTCTAGATTGAAAGCCATTATTTCCCTCGAGAAACGTCTCATCACAATGTTTTGATTTGTCCAATTAAAAAGCATTTCTGCTTATCATACATTTCCAATCTCTTGCAGTCAGATCCTCAATCACCTTCAGTGCACCTTATCAAATTTTTAATTTGATTCTAATCAATTCAACTCTGTTTCTTTTTTTTCGCGCTGTAAACAACTGATGTTTTCGCCGTCTGTGAAATATGAGTCATACTTTCAAAAGTTTGGAATTTCGAACAATGGCAGGAAAACTTAATTGTTTTACATCTTAGCAGCAGTGGTTTGAAAAAACAGGCTCACTGTACATTGATATGGATGAATGTATGTATTAATATAAAATAAAACAATGAATATAACTGAAAAGTTAATACCTAGTTTTCATCAAGGTCAGAAGATATCACCATATTTTTTATTGTCTTTGTGTAACACAGGTGTCCTGTGTTCCTGTTTCTCACGACAAAAATAAACCAACCAGCAGCGGTCAGTGTCACCCTGGATACGAAGGAAAACGATGCGAGAGGAGTGAGTAACGTTTGGCTTCTTAATTGATGTGTTTTCTTTTATTTGTTAGGGCTTCTTTTATTGATTTACTATTTTTTTGCCACTGATACAAGTTAAAAACATGCGTAAAATTAAGAAAAAGATGAGACAAAGGGGCCCAAAGGAAGCTAATAAGGCTTATGAATAGGACTACCTTTAAAAATATACTTATTAATAAATAAAATACTGACATCGGCAAGACAATAAGCACATATAATTGCTTTAGAACAAAGAAAATAATCATTAAATAGGATAAAAATACATAAGGCTGAACGCGTAAGTACAAAAACGAAAAAGAAAATGCAGGAATATACGAGAAACAAAAAGGGAAAGAAGCGAAGAAATACATACAAGCAATGAGAGAACTAAAAGTGTCCTTATACCACGAAAAATGACTTAAGTTTAGAATTGAACAAAGCAGCACTAGAGGCATCCTGACTTTCAGAGCTAAGGGAATTAAATATTTTGGGCCCTTGAAAATGAAGTGAAAATTTCCTTACATTTGTCCTGCAGTAGGGCAAACGGAAGGAATTCTTACTTCTAGTGTTGAACGAACGTACGTCACAGTTAAGTAAAAAACATGTCGTTGAAACCATCGGGAAGAAGGCCGTTTATGTAAAGATACATAACTTCTCCTATTTGGAGTTAGAGTCACCTATATTTAGGCTTGAACCTTTTGAAATGATATTTATGAAGCTTTGAAAGATAGTTTAACCCTTGAATTGATTATTTTTAACTCAACCACTCTCCCTTAGTGTGTTCATGTCCACACTCGTTATTTCACTTGAATATTTAGGGTTTTTAGCCAATAAGGGACCGGTCATTATTTATCGTCGGGGGTGGGGGGGCGAGGATTTTGGGGGATTGCGTGATTTTAGGAGAACCCAACAGGGGAATCACTGAAAACGTTGGAAGATGGATTCAGAGGAGGACCACTCAAATTTGCCTGGAGAATGAAGACATCGGGGGAATGGCGAAAGTTATCAAATGTTATTAAGGGGATCACTTTAGTCAGGAGCCGATTTTAGTAAAGTAACATTCAAAGCGGGGAACAGCTAAATTTCACCTTGTTTAACTCAAATCCTCCGCCCCCAGGCGATAAATAATGGCCGGTCCCCTAACTTTCCAGTACGTGCTCGCGTGTAAGATTAACTTTGTTCGTACCTCTCCAGCTTTTTGGCTCTTCGTTCGCTGTTTTCGTTTTTTTCGTAAGTCTGCATTTTATTTGAGATAAAATCAAACATTTATTGGAATCTGCGTAGGATTCATGGACGTAGAGTCTGTTTTTGCTAAGAATGAAGGATAGAGAGAGAAACAGGGTCTGTGTTATTTTATGTTACAGTAAACACGGCTGGTATTCACGTAAACCTGCTCATTCGTGTAAGAAGATCCGGGACTCTGGTGATTCCAAAGGAGACGGAAGGTACTGGATCGACGCTGAGAACAGTGGAAACCTCTTAATGTTTACTGTGACATGACAACTGACGGAGGTAAGATTTGCTTTTTGAGAAGTTATACTTAAGCCCTATTAATCGCAAGTATCAGCCATTATGTTAAAAAAAAAAATCACTCTACTGCAATATAATTGAGACATGAACAGTTTTGTGTTTTCAGAAATTGCGTTCGACCTTCATCGAGTTGTCATCGGCAAATGCTTGTTCCTCCTTGCTTATGCTTGCAAACAACTTGCTTCCACAGACAAATAAGCATGTTATGTTTGATTTAAATAATATTTGTTGGTAATTGTATGAGTGCAGTATCTGTCAACTAGCTAGAAATGGATAAATAAGTAAATTAATGTATCAGTAAAAACACCGTACCCTGAACTCTGAAACTGTGTTATATGTTTATCAATATATGGCATGTGTAACTAACGCTTCACGCAAAGCGCAGCGACCTATGTAGAAAACCACGTTCTATCTTAGGACTTTAGGGGACTCGTTTCTTAATTTCAGCAATGATATGTATTGCTCAATCCCTCCCGTTTTGAAAATATCATGTTCTTTAAAATTTTGGGTACCCCAAAATCTCTTTTTCGAAAACGCTTTCATATTTTTTTTCAAACCTTGCCAAGGCAGAGAGAACAGCGTAGATTATTAGCCCCCTAGGGGGCTGCCATGTTTCAACCCTTTAAGTAACAGTTCAAAAATTAAACAACATTTTTTCGGACAAATATCTATTTTAGTCTTTATATCGATAAAACATCCGTCTGAGACGTCTTTTCTGACTTTCCGCTTGATACGGACACCAGGATCATAAGCAAAGTAGAAACAACATGTCCTCTTGGTGTCCAGAATAACCGGGTTCCAATGTGTTTTTTTCATACAATGCTTTGTCTTTTCACGTCAGGAGGATGGTTGCTTGTTTCCAACATTACGATGAAAGTTCCAGTCCTCCCTCTCATCTGCCAGTCAAGACTTCATGTCGTGGAATAACCAGTGATCAGATGGTTCTCACGAAACCGCCATGAATGAGCTGAGAACACACTTGTCTTTCACCCAGCTGAGATTCTACCGCAGTAAAACAATGGCCGTACAATCCACGTGACCACTGCCGCTAACAGCATCGGTGAAGCTGTAGTCAGTACTTCAGCGGTCAGACGGATGTCCAGCCCGCCTCGCGTGGCTCATATGTCAGAATGGAAAATGACAACTTATATTTAGGTGGAGATTGTAAGAAATGGAAAATGGCAAATGGGGATACATAATGCAAACGAAAACAGACCTACAATCATGTGGTTTATGTTTATGGCACTCGTCGTTGGCTGCTTTCTCCACCCTCAGTATTTGAATGCGATGACCTTCTTGTTGGAGTTACCACTGGTGATTTCTGGAAGGTTTATGTTCGCTAGTCAATCGGTATATTGAGTGTAATCAAAGCGTTATAACTCGAGGGTGCATGCAACGTATTACATGGTTTGCCTATTATTCCACCTTCTTTGCAATGAGTATTATCAAAATCCACAGTTTCCCGCCATTTTGTGTAAAATCTTTGTTCTTAGGTTTGTTCATATATTACGTAATTTTCGTTCAATCAATATTTTGTATATACACAGTATTAACTTTACATTTTAACACTTAAATTTATTCCCTTACAAAGTCAACAACAAAACCCTTTCTGAGCCGGGGGGGTATGGGGGGAGGGGTACTTACTATGAAGGCCTATACGTGGGGTTCCGCCCGACAGGGGGATTTTTTCAGGTTTCATATAAGTACATGAAAGGGTGAGGATTGATTAGTTGACGTAAATGAAAGGGCAGTAAAATCTGTCATTTTGTTTAGTAAAAAGGCCCAAAAGGAATAAAAGATGCATTTTACGGCAGTGAAAATGTCGAGGAAACGTTATGTAAACCTTTGTACAGTACCTTTGGGTTTCTAGGTTTTACTAACCATCAGAAAAAGGGATAATCATTTCAAGGAAATCTCTTTTTGCGCACAAACTGCTGGGTGTAGGAATAAATTGATCGAAAATTGAGGTGGATAATCTAGCAAATAAGGAAATTGCACCATGTTTCCTGGTTCACTTGGGTTTTCAACCTGGCTCTTAGGCTTTGTTTACACTATGCGAGACAGATTTTACGCCGCCATGTAAACCATCAAATACTGAGCTTCAATCTGTTTACACATTTCATTTTTTCTTTATGCAAAGATCAAATTTTATTTCAATATTACCTCGATTTATATGAGGGATTTTAAGCAAATGAAATCTAAGTTTGATTAATTCAAGCCAACTTCTTGATTAAATCAGATGAGTATTTTTCACTTTTTGGCTACTTTGAAAGAAATTTGGATTCTGCCGATACATTTAACAATATGACTTTATAATAACGTTAAATTACGTCAGTGTGTCCATCAGGTTATTGCGTAGATGTTTGAAATGTTATTTTGGTGGCCGTATCATTAGCAGTTTGGAGTTAGATCTCTCTAGATCATCTCAAAGGTATTGCGGGAGGCTTTGATGATAAACAGGGCATGCGTATTCAGCAACAGTCCTAGTACAAGTAAATTAGAAGAGCAAAAGTTCTTTCGACTTGACATGTGCGCGCTGAAGCTGGCACAGAAAATACAGGCGCTTGAGTAATGGTGTGAGAGCATCTTGATCCGGTTTGAGGACGAGGAAGGACGAGAAAAAAGTTTTCTCATAAATAAAATGCGCGGGAAACTTTTTAACTTGTGCTAAACATGCTCAGACAAGTAATGAATAAATAAACGAAAATAAGAGTAGAAAGTGCACTGTAAGGGGCGGGGACTTTTCATTGTTTCAGCTTGACAGATTAGGGGGCTTATTGTGTTTACAGAATAAAAAATTATTGAGAGACAAAACTTTATTACCTTTATCTGTAAATACAAACAAGATTAATATACAGACTGACTGTGTTATTGTTCTTCATTAGTGATTCAAAAGGGGTAAACTGCGAAAAGATTTGAATCTTGTAACAATCACGCGTTCAAAGCACAATATTATTGTGGTAGTCGTATTTACTAAAACAGACTTCTTGATCCAATGAAAAGACTTAAATCAATAACTACTGCCAATTTCAGGACGAGACACTCCATAATATGTTGTAGAAATAAAGCATTTAATGTGAGCAAAAACTGGAACGAGAGCGTTCTCGGCTTTTCACGCCGGCCACATTTTCAGAATCTCCGTTCTCTTCGTACCCATCTTGAAGCATTGACAGCTTTGACAGCTTTTGGCTTATTTAACCAATGAAATCATCTGGCCCATTGTAAAATGGATCGCGATTAGCTAATTTAAGCGTCTTTTATGAGAGTGTAGAACACGATGACGTCACTTTCCTTCGCTTTGGAAATAAGGTTTGTTTTGGAAATTAGAAATCAATGCGTGGGAATTTAAGGGATTCTTTCTCATAAAACAAATAAAGAAGAAGCCTTGACTGTGCTCTGTTCTGTTGTAGAGCACTTAGGAAGTGGCTAAAGCACTCGTGAAGTAAGTAGAAAGACTTGACAACATATATAGTGTTTCCCCTTCACTTCTTTGGTGCTCTAGCCTCTTACTGCGTGCTTTACAACAGAGCAGAGAATAGTAAAACTTCTTTATTTGTTAAGTAAAAAAGCCATGGTTGATGTTCAATCAGTAGAACTGACCTTAACAGGTCCATAATAAGAAGATCCTTTCATGTTTTGAAGCTTTCCGTTGTCATCTTCCGTGTTTTGTTGTTCAGCTCACAAAGTCGTTTTGTAATATCTGCACCAGGACGAACATTAAATGACTTACAGCTGTTATTTCTGAGCATGTTTGGTGACATTCAAACTCATCAGCAACAGTAGACTCATTCATGACATGACCAATAAAACATGGAGGCAGCGTGGCCGAGTGGTCAGCGTCGGACTCGCAATCCGGCGGTCCCGGGTTCGAGTCCCGCTCTGGCCACTTGCTGGATTTGTGCTCGGTCGTCCGGGTTCAAATTCTCGGCCACGCTTGTAATAGCCAACTGGTTGCCTTCTGCCAGTTGAGGTTTTAATCCTGTTATGTTGTATTTGAATTATTTGTTACTAAATATTTGAGTGGAGTGCCTGTAAATTAGCTGACTAGCTAAGTGCACCTTCCACTATAAACATGCCTTTAACCTTTTTTATGGTCTGAAATTAAGGATTGGAAAATAGAAGAACTTGTAATCCCGCGAGCCATTCATGTTAAGGAAATAGTCATTCTTATGGCGGTTCATGTTTATGGCAAAATTGTACAGAACTGTCTTTTAATTGATACATCAATAACAGGTGACACTATCCTTTCCATCACTTTAACGTATATTAAACTTTAGCTTCAACGTCGTTCTTTTCCAAGACCATTGAAACGTATTGTTCTTAGTTCAACTTAATCCAGGAATATATACATCTATCATTACTAAGGCTTTTTACCAATGATAAGATGGAAAGTTAAAAATGGTAACGGTCGTTTACGTTAGCGAAATAGGCGACGTCGAAGAATAATTTTTATCGTGGTGACGAGGAGGAGAAGTTAGCCTGCTCAAAGTATGGAACTGTTTTCGAATAATAGCGGGAGAAGCCGTTACGACACGTTGCCATGGTAGCAAAATTTATGGATGACAAGAAACCGAAAAAGTCACTTAAAACTGAAGTGAACTCGCACTGTTTGAAACTTCATCAATCTTATTCAATTTCATTTAATTTGTCGATTGTTGGCGAAATTTTTCTGGGGTTGCACGCGAAAGGACTGTATCTAAGTTTAGAATAAAGGAAAACAATTTTCGTTTGTTTTCACCTAACCCATTAAGCAGGCGCGTGAAATTAGGACGTTTCATGTGCAGTCGAGCAACGACGACTAAGAAATGTACAAAAAAGCGTAATACACGAGCAAGTTGTTGATTTGAACCTATTGCTTTTTACCGTTCTCACTGTGCCATCGTCGTTGCTTAAGCTCGGCATTTTGTGATCCAGAAATTTTGTTACCGTGGTAACGTGACGTCAGGCTTCTCCTCTTTATTATTTTTTTC